TGGTCTTACACTTAACCTCTCAGCCCATAATGATCAAACACTGCCCGACAAGAGAGGACCTCTCCCTCGGCTACAAGGTACAGTGTTGCACTCTCTACTCACATGCAAGGTACAATGCTGCACTCTCTACTCACATGGATCCCGGGAATTAAAACCTTTTGCAATCATTTTGAAACCATAATATATATATGTATATCTCTATATAAATATATTTTGCCAAACAAATTTCAACGGTTGAAATTGACTACTGACAGTTTTGGTTTCCATCAGAGAGAATGCATCCCTGATCATTCACTTAGTCCGACAAAGGGGTTGATCCTGTCATTATGATCACCCACTCAGATGAATTCTCGGATTGTCTCAATATACCCAAATTTTGACCCCTCTAAGGATCTCACTCATTGGCATAACAAAGACAGACCAATCCGACACATAGTGTAGTATCACAATCGAGTCTAGGGGTCAGGTGTAACATTTCAGTTTTGCCCATCTATCTCCAAGGTTCAGGGCAATACTGGAATTTTGGTCCAGTTCATGGTTTTAAGAAAACCCGCACTGCATGTACCTCAGGTTTCACCCTAGCAGTTGAGACAAGCCACCCCAACCAACTTGGTGGCACATCAATGTCAGCCTTGGCAAGATAAATCTCTCCAGATCTATCTAACGGCTGTAAAGATTCTAAACTAACACGAGTCTCATAAGTGTCAAGTTTAAGGGTATTACAAAGAAACACACCATAATAACATGAATCAAATATGTACTTTATTCATTACATTAAATTCCATAAGGTACATCATTCTGATTGGAGCTAAGGGCATACACTATCTAACAAGTGTTTGATCATTAAAGGCTAAGATGTTAAGTGTAAGAGACCATTAAGGGTTGTTTTACCTAGTGGGCTATATCTCAATTAAGTCCATTATCCTTGGGCCTTCATAGGATGGCTGGACTCAGGGGTTCACTGTGCTTAACAGTGAATTTGGCCAGGCTTTTCCACAAAAGCTAGATCGAACCCATATGGGCTTATGTAAGGTTATTGTTGGTGTCCCATGCCATACAAAGAGAACCAAATGGGCCAACAATTAAATAGGGTCGTGAGCCACTTTCTTAATGGGCCTAAAGCCCATGATTAATTAGATTAATCAAGTGGTTACATGACAGGTTAAGTCATGTGACATGGGCAAATATGAGTATGGATATGGATTTGGATCAACAATTAAGATAAGAGGATAAGTCTTATCCACTTAAAGAGTCCAAATCCAAATAAAGATTTGGATTAGGATACTCCTAATTGGATTAGGAGTGTTGATCCTTAAGGCTTATAAAAGGAGGAGGGCGAATTGCTCCAGTTGTCAATCTGCTCTCAATTCTCTCTTTCTACTCTTGTCGCCCACAAACCCTAGTTTGACTTCTAGTTCTTGAACTGATAAAGATCAGTTTTGATTTCTGACTTTTGCAAGAAAATATCATATTCAATTCCTACTCACCACTCTTGTTCGATCCAAGCTGTTGGATTACAGTTTTTGCTAAAAAATTGTGTTGCTGAACCGGCTTCAATTCAAGTTGTGTCTTATTCAGTGGAAGCTGGTTTTGGTACACTCTTTGGACGTGAACTACCACTTTGGAAGCTACACTTGTGGATTCCGTATCAAGTATACTTCTCCCTTCATTTTGGTTCCAGATCTGGTCCGGTTTAGTATAAGAACGAACCTTAAAAAATGTAGTTTTTTTAAAATTGGGAATACGATTCCTTGAAGGGTAAAAGAAAATTTTTGAAATTTTGTCCAACCATTTAGCATGGTTCGGCCATCCATATGATGGATTTCCCCTTCCTTCATCGTCTTCTTGACTCGATATTCTGATACAATATTCGCTTGAAGTCTTCAAGCACCCTCTAAAAAGCAACATTACCCATCATCTTCTCCACATAGAAGGATCAACTTCATGCGATCCAATCTTTTTTTTTTATTTTTTTTGGGAAAATTCCCGATAGGTACCCTGTACTTTAGGCCGAGTGCCAATTTACTACCCGAACTACAAAATACGACAATCTAGTAGATGGCAAGACCTTAACGACTCGCTTGTCGTTAAGGTCGACTATATTGATGACGATTCCGTTGATGCTGATGATCGTGATTCTTCTAAATCTCATGGTAGCAACTTAGCTATAGGTCTGGCCAAGTTCTTGCTATATAGAATCATCTCGAAGTCTCTTCAGTTCCTATAGCAGACCCTATCGGGAAAAGAAAAAAAATGTGTGTTGCTAAGGTTTCTTGTCTAGAGGTTCATGAATAGATTGAACTCAATCATGTAAAAGAATATTAACCTAAAAGAGAAAATAAAGAAGAAAAATAAAGGAAAAGAATATTCACCTCTTCTGGCCGGAGGAAGACGCACTCACCTAGAACAATAACGGTCCCAAATTGATCCAATATCTTCACAAACTCCAAAGCTTGATCGGAATTGGAGCAACCTTCCATACAGATCTGAACAAATTCCGAATATGGAATAGAACTCTTTTGGATCTGTCTCAATTTCGACTTTAACATTTCCAACTGTGATAACCTAAGCAATTTATGTGCGTCTTCAACCGAAATCCCATCCCTGGGATCCGTTTGCATCACTGGAGGAATCAAACCGTCTAATCGAAGACGGTCTTTGTTTATGTCCATTCCTCTCACCTTCTCCATTAACTTATCTCCGATTGGCAGAGAACGAAGCTCCAACGACATTGCTGGTTGAACTAGCGGCCTCTTATGAAGGAATCTCCGGAAGAAGCCATTCTCGCCGGAATTCGTTGAGGTGAGGAAGCCACACCGGAAGGTTGGGGTGGCGGGATTTGTGGGGACAATGTTTTCAAACGACGGAGAAGAGACAGATGAGTGTGTTAGTATTAGATTTGGGGAGGAGATTTTGGTTACATTGAAAAGACGGTGAGGTAGGGTTTACCTCAACGCCATTGATTTACAGAAGAAGATAACCAAAAAAAAATCTATATACAGAAATAGAAGAGGGAGGTGGAATGGGTTTCCTGTTTGGCACTCCAATTTTCGAGGGTGTATTTGTTTGAATTTCATGAACAATGGAGGCATTGGGACCTGTTTATATAGGTTCCAAGGCGAAGGAAGTTTGAAAGAAGGGGAGAGTATTTTATTAGGAGATGGAAAATTGGAAAATTTAACAAACTAGAGAGGAGAGGAGACTTCACTCGACTCCGACCTTTCTCTTTATTTCGAGCACACCCATTCCATCCCGGTGCCAGCAAAAAAAAATACCCTGGTTGTCTCTTCTAGCGCCGACAACAAGAGTCGTCTTCTCCGAAAACAACACTGGTTTCTTCGATTTTAACTTTTCCTGCATTGCACTCGAGCATCGATTTCAACTTTTCTAGTGGCGCATTTGCTTGACATAATCGGCGTGAGAAGCTGGTTTTCAAAATCTTAGGCAACTGCAAGTGTGATGGGTAATTAAGGCCCCGTTTGGCATGTCTTTCTACGCGGTCTTTCGGCTTCTTACAATCCGAGAAAACCAAAAATCGGTTTATTTCCATTTGGCACGCGGAAGATCTCGCCGTTAAAAGACGGGGCGTGGTAAAGACGTGGGAAGCCCATTTTGGGCTGATTTTGGGAAGCTCCAAATGAAGCTTTCTGCATCTTCTACGTTTTAATCTTGTGCGGAAAGACCCGAAACGATGCATGGAAAGATGTGCATTTGCCAAACGATCTTCGGGCTGCTCAAATCTTATGTCAAAAGCTCAATGCGTTTATGCATTTATTGACCTCAGAGCTGCGAGAAAATCTTCTCAAAAAGACTTGTCAAACGGGCCTTAAGTCTTTTTGTCTTCTAATTGACGATAAGTTAACGCTGGATACTATATTGCCACAAAATGAAAAATTGGATATTAAATTATCACGTTTTAAAATTCGAGTATTAAATTAACACTCGGCCTAATAAAGTATAGGATACCTATTGGAAAATTTCCCTATTTTTTCGTCACTTGAAAGTAATGTTCTATATTGATTTATAGAGAAGAAAAAGAGGAAGAATGGGCCGAAGCCTCTATTTTGTATTTGAACTAGAAAGCTAAATTTATTCGAATATGCGAATATGACTGAACTTTTGACTGACCTTTCGAGTCCTTAGCATATACTGTTGCTTCCCTCAGCAGATCCACCGATTTCTCCTCAGCTTTCCTCACTGTGTTAGGGAGCTATTTTGTAGGGGATTCCATCGTGGGATTCAAAACGCAGACAGGAAGAAGCGGACAAAGATTTTGGGAAGAAGTCTCGAGCATGGAAGCATGTATTAAATATGAGGGGCATTTTGGTAAGTATATTGATGACATGTAGTGGAGGTGGAGTTGAAAATAAAAACCAATTTATAAACCGATTGATACTGTAATTTGAGCCACCGTAGACGAAAATTTGAATTCTGCGGTGGAGAGATCGATAAAAACCTAGAATGTTTTGTTGATTAATAGAAATAAGGGTTCTTTTGTCATTACAGACTTTCTTTTGTGTTTTAAGTTTTTAAAGAGATTCTCTAATGGTGTTATGTAGTCTTATATCTAAGCCTCTCACGATGATTTACTGTTCTATGGAGGCTAATATTTCTTATTTTTATTTATATAATTTTATATCTTATAGAAGTAAGTCTAACGGTCTAACCAAACGATCAGACCATTAGCTCAGTGATCCAAATGTTTGTACGCTCTCTTCAAATCTGACAACATTGGTCTAGTGTATATAATAAGTACAAAAAAAAAAAGCCTTGTCACAGGTCTTGCTTACAATCCAAGGTCAAAGAATATTCTGGCAGATGGTGAGGCAAGTGACTAGCAGAATGTGTTTTTGAAAGTAATTATTCTGATGCCTTGAACAGCAGAAAATAAGGGCATATCAAAGATGTTCTTTTTGTATATTACAGTTTTTAGAGAATACCCAGCTTTAGTTCAAATGATTTCTCCAACCGTAATGGGGTAGCCCATGCTTTTTAGCTTTTTCATGTGTTTGAAGTTTTGTTTCTTTATGTTCAAAGAAATTTCCTTCCTCGCAAAAAAATTGAAAAAGTGAGTATTTGTGGGCACGATTTTCTATTAGCCAGTGGATTGGCTGGAGACAAATTCATGCACACCGGGCTCAGCTACATATCACGGATAAACACGGCAGTGTGATGAGACTAAAAAGCACCATATTTTTATCCCCTAATATTCACTCTTTTACATCAATTTAGCACTTAAATGGACTCATTACTCTTGTATTTCGATTCAGGGCAAGAAAAAAGGCAATTGGAAGAAAACTGGGCAATTTGGATGATTTTGCACAGTTTTGGCAACAATAGTCAGTAATCTTGGCATAACTTTCAATTCCAGACTCCGAATTGGACAATTCAAGAGGCATCAGAAAGATGAAAGAATGACCCACAACTTTTATGTTTTGGGTTTTGACAGGATCGGACCACATCGAATACGAAATCGGGCCCGAAGTCGGAGCAAGTTCGTAGCCAGACCCATTTCACAACTGAAGCCCAACTCGCAGAAGAACCATGTAGCAGCCCAAGTTTTAAAGCATCCCAACTCGAATTCAAGAGCTTAGAGTCCCAATTTCAAATGTAACCTCCAGAAGGAGAGTCTTATTAGATTTAAATTCTTGAATGTAATCCTATAAATATAAGAAGATTGGATTAAATCACTAGATAAGAGATAGGATAGGATTAAGTTCAAAACAGATCAGGACTTTCTAATTTGAGGTTAATCTCCTAGAAGGAGTTGGAGAGAGCCCCTCCCCCTAAAGCTATATAAAGGGGGGGAGCGGACCAGCTCTAGCATCACATCAATCCAAGATCCTAGAGATCATTCAAGCAACTCAAGCTACCAAGAGAGCAGTTCGGCCACTGAGAAGCAGAGCATGGAGAGTTCGAAGATCATGAGCAGCTAAACTTCTCTTTTCTGGTTCAAGGGGGGAGGTTCGATTGAGTCATTGTGAGGTTCT